AGGCAGACTGTTCAAATCTGCCGTCTGCTCTGTGGGAGGGAGATGGACAGTCTCTTCCTGTTCGGTTTATGGCCTCTGTAAACCGAAATCTCTCTATTTTAGAGAGGACCCTCACAGTGGATTTTCCTAATGCAGTATATCTCCTGATCTCCTGACTCCTGGTACCAAAGGTGTGGTTTGTCGATCCTGGCAGCGTGGAATAATTGACAACTTCAATCCTTCTTCCATCTGTCTTGATATTTATTGCCTATTGACCCAACGGTGACACCCTTGTTTTCTTGATTTTGAGCTGTAATCCATACTGAAGGCTGTTATCCTTGATCTTCTATAGCAGACGTTTCAAGACCTCCTCACCTTCAGTAAGCAGGAGTGTGTCATCTGCATAGTACAGAATATTAATGAGTTTCCTCTGATCTTGATATATTTCTGCTGGAAGGTCAGCGTGGAGTCACTTCTGACTTGATGGCCATACTTTTCTGAGTCACCTCTCAAAAGCAGATTTGAAACCACAAGTGCAGATTCTCAGTGACATAAGCTTCAGAATATGTTTCCAATTTTGCAACTTCATCTCAGTTGGGAAAAAAAGTCTTTTCAAAGCACGATTTGTTTAACATAGGCTCTCGGCAGTTCTTACACATCTCTCTTAAATACATGCTTTCATTTTACACCTGAACTGATTACAGAATGTATATGAAAGTATGTATCAAGGACTTTTTATCACCTCTTTCATCACTCTAGAACTTTCTGCCCATTTTGTATATAAGTGTCTAGTTAGTTATTTCCAGGAATTAGTGTCACTTTAGGTTACTTCATGGAAATGAAAAAATAATGTAATACTGTCATAAAGTAATGGTACATTGTGAAATAAGGAAATCCATTTATAAATTAATGTTACTATAAACCAAAACGAAGCTATCCTCTCAGTCTGCATCTGTATGTGGTCCTTATATGAAAGCTCTTATTTGAGACAAGATTTAAACATACAATTTCTTGTTCATACACCTATTATTGTTACTTTGGTCATGTTGTTAGGGAGGGACAGTCCTTGGGAAAAGGTGTCATTCTTGGAAAGGTAGCGGAAAGAGAAGGCCCTCGATAGCGTGGATTGACAGAGTAACCATACTGGTGGGTTTGAGTATGTCACAGACGATGAGGACGGCACAGGCTGGGGGCAGGGTTCAGATCTGCTGTGTGCTGGGTCATCACGGCCATAGTGAACTCAAAGGCACCCAGCAGCAACCGTTAACAGTAAAATATATGTCCGTGCTCTTTTTACAGGGTATTATATAAAATGACACATCCTTAAGTTGGAATACTTAGCAGCCCTTGAAATGGTGATAAGATGTATTTTGACATAAAGAGAATATATTCTGTGGGGGGAGAAAGCAAACTGGGAATTCCACAAAATTAAACAACATATGTTGCATGTTCAGTTTTCTTATTTAAAACATATACATTGTTCATGTTAAAATATCTGCAACGCCATTTACAGACATTTTAACCGTTCCTCCATCTGAATGGTAAAACTATAAGAGATTTCATACTATTTATACCATTCAGTATTTTCTGAAGTTTTTTTCAAGAGTTACTTTTATAAGTAGAATCATGTTCTTTGTACTTAAAATCAGTTGTTATTATATTTTGGAGGAACAGTCTTCTAAGTGGTACAGCACTCTTCTGTCAGTGTGCTGTGCTGAGGTAACCTGGGGTTGCAATGATGCTGAACCTTGTGCCACTGGTGTGTCAAATGCCGTAACGGTTATCCATGGTGGACAGTGTTTGGTGGAGCTCCGAGTTTAAGACCGGTTTGGAAGCAGAAGTGACATCGACTTCCTAAACAGCATGCCTCTGGAAACTATGAACTTTAATAAATGTTGATAGTTAGAGAAAGGCTTTCAGGCCTTTTGTGCATAGGATTACTATGGGTCGTACTTGACGGCAATCAACAACAACAACTGTTATGAGTGGGATTAAGTTTTTCCCCCAAGAGATTGCTGAAGTCACAGATTGACTAAAGCTCCCATTTAAAATTTATTAAAGAATGTTTGTGTGTAAAACAAAATGTAGATGTAAAAGCCAAATGAAACTTTCCCAAAAAGATGAGGCCTAACTCAGCTCAAACTTCTTACCATGAAATTGGAGCAGCTCACCCTCCAGTGGATTTTCAGAGGCTGGAAATGACAGGGAACGTGGTTCCACAGAGTAGGAGGTGGATTCAAACCATATGCCTTTGGATTGGTAGCACAAATCCTTATCCTCCAGGGTACCAAAGGCCAAAGGGTTACATAAAGATGAAAGGAATATGAGCAGGCTAGAAAGCTTGGTGAGGGGTTTTTTTGCCCCCTTTTAACTAAAGAAATAACTTTGCTCATCCAGCTTTTGCTCATTAAATTTTATAACTTCACAACACACACTTTATATCTTCTTGTGAAGAATCTTGTATATATATTTTATCAGAAATGAAAATAATTGGAAGAATGATTAGTAAAGAGAAATAAAACTGTTTTTATCTATAAGAGCCAGAGTTTATATTTTAAACTTCCATTTGTATTCTAAATAACTTACTCTCTCAGGCAATTAACTGCTGCGTTATGTAGCATTAATACACGGTTACCCAGCTGCTGTAATCTCCATGTAATCAGTAAACTTCTATTTTTATTATTTAGGTTGGGTTTTTTTCCCCATTCCCCCCCACCCAGAGCTGTGCCCAGGACGTGTGTAAAGAAATAAGGCAAGAGAATATAATGTCTTGTTCAAGATCATTGAAGTGCCATTAAAGCCACAATGGATGTGGTAAACTCCAGGTTGGAAAGAATGAAATTGAAAATAAAAATTTCTAAATGATTTCTTCTCCTCCTCTCTTCAAATGGAAATCTGCATAAAGGGAGGAGAATTGTGTCCTAAGTGCCTCCTCTCTATGAGAATTCTTTGAAATAGTAAGTTCTTCATCAGTCTCATGGGGAACTCCGGTGGCTCTTTAGAGGCTTAGCTATGAGTTGATCTCACTTGATAGAAATGAGTTTTGAGCTATTTCAAGTATGTTGTTTTGTTGCTCTTGCTGTTAGGTGCCATGGAGTTGTGCAAGACTCGTAGCGACCCTCTGAACAGCAGATCTGAACCCTGTCCCGTCCAGTGCTACCCTTATCATCCCGACACACTGGAGCCCATTGGCTGTACTAATCCCTTGTGCTCAGGGTCTTCCTCTCCTTCACTGACCTCCACCTTCCCAAGCTGGATGTCCCTTTGCTAGGAATAGCCTCTTCTAACAGCTTGCCCAAAGTATGTGAGATGACGCTTCGCCCTGGAATATGCACGCTGGCTGTCCATCTCCAAGATGTGCCTGTCTGTACTTCTGGCAGTCCATGGAGTAATCAGTACTCTTCTCCAACATGACGATCGATTCTGCTTCTGTCGTCATTGTTCGTGGTCCAGCTCTCAGATATATAGCAGGTTATTGGAAAACCAAGGCCTTCAATCAGGCCTTGGTTTGTTGTGTTTTTTGTTTCATTTTTTAAATTTATACTTTCTGTTGGAAAGTGGCAGGCCAGATTGAAGGTAGACTGTACCAAGAAAAGCTGTCTTGAATGTGGCAAGCCTCTGGTTTTTGTGCTTAAGCATCTACTTCCGCTACTCAGAAGGATTAACGAGGGGAGCTCTGGTGGCCTAGGGGCAAGAAGCTACACTGCAATCCCAAAGGCCGGGGTTCGAGGCCACCAGGTGCTCCCCGGGAGAAGGATGAGCAGTCTCCTCCTGTACGATTAACTGCCTCTGAGAACCTGCCGGAGGGTCAGCATTACACAACAACAACAACACACGCTGTACCCCAAGACTGCTTCCTGCTCTGTGTATCTTGTTGCTCCTCTAACCTGAGATTTGTTAAAATTTTAATTTTAGATTCTCCTTATTTTCCTCCCTCTCACTTTTAACATCTCCCTCGCTCTGCAGGGCATATTACCATAGTGTGTGTATATATGTATATGTATACACACACACACACACACACACACACACACACACACATATATACATATGCATATACATGCATATATACACACGCGTGCATATACACATGCATATACACATGCACATAGACACACACATGCACATATATATACACACATACACATATATACACACATATATACATATGCATACACATGCATATATACACACAAATATACACATGCATACACACATACACATGCACATATACACACACATGCACATATATATACACACATACACATATATACATATGCATACACATGCATATATACACACAAATATACACATGCATACACACATACACATGCACATATACACACATGCATACACACATGCATACACACATGCATACACACATATATATACACATACATATACACGCATATACACACATACATATACACACATATATATACATATGCATACACATGCATATATACACTCACGCATATACACATGCATACACACATACACACACATATACACACATATACATATATATACACACATATATACACACACATACACATACACATATACATATATAATGCTTCAGTCTGTTTTACTTTCCTTTGCTTCTCAAAGCCATTTCTTGTAATTCTGGATCCCTTTTGAGTTCCTTTGTTAATACTGTGTGTAAAAGCTTCATCTTCGTCTTTTATGTGATTTGAAGGACTGACATATGAATTACTTAGAATGCTACTTAAACGCACACTATGGTGAAGAGTTATGCATGTCTCCATCTAAGTTTGCCTTCAGGACGCAGGATCTACAGCGAGAAAGAAGAGACATCTCACACTGTAACATCAGTGTGACTCTTTCCTAAAGATACTAATGTAAAGATCTCTCTCTCTTTTCTTGGTAGAATTGTTATATTTAAGAGAGTTTGTACCCCTTTGTCTATGAAATCATAGAATTACACTGTTTTTATTCTAGAAATGATTTTTGTATCATCTAGAGAAAAGCTAATGTCAGTGAATTCCTTTTTCCTCTAGGTTATTGCTAATTCACCCATTCTAAAAGCGCTTCAGACCAACCTGCAGCAGGTGCTGCTCTATGAGGATCTGGCTCTCCAGGAGAAAGCCCTGGCGTGCATTCCAGTCGAAGAGCTGAAGATGAGATCCCAGGAAAAGTCATCGAGAGCCCGAAGACTCGATAAAGGTAGTGACTCTGCTTAGCCGCTCATTGCTAGCCATTTGTTGCTAAAAGATTGGATAAAAGTAGTGAGTCTACATAGCCATTTGTTGCTGAATTTACATCATTGCTGAATAAAGGTCAACACTTGAGGTTGTACTTTTTGCTGTATATATTATATGTCTGGTTCCTCTCACCCCACTTCTCACCTTCCAATATGACTGAATTCCAGAAACTAGGTTGTATTAAAAAAATAAGTACAAAATACTGTATAAGACCATTATTGTAGGAATAGATAACTAGTAAAATGTGTATGAGCATCCAAAGGGGGCAGAGGAAGCAGAGGGGTGAGGATGGGAAGGGGCTTGGGTAATCATAGGGTCACACAATCTGATGGGTGGAAGGAAGCGTGAATAATGGAAATGAGAAAGATACGATGTCAAAAAACAATGTATACAAAACTTGTAGGTAAAGCAGTATAAAACAAATTTTATTAAAAAAAATCAGTATTAAGTGAAAATGGAGGATGAGCATATCAGATCACAAGGTGGACTTGTGTCATTACGTCACTGTTGAGTCACTTGAGAATTAGGACAAATTGACACCCAGCCCTAACTGTTAGAGCCAGCATTGCTTTCCTTCATCCCTCAGCATCTTAACCCCTAAGCAGGTGTTGGTACTGCACAGAATAATAGATTTCCCCCCTGTTCTTGTAAATACGAAATGTCAGATTATGATAAAATTGATGACTGAGGTATAGGTGTGTTTGAATTCTTAAGAAACTCAATAGTAGTATCATTTTATTGCACATGTATTAGACACCTGGATTTATCTATTATAATTTTCATTAGGAATTTACTTGAATGTATATTCATAGTTTTAATCATCGACATGTGACTTTTTTAGCTATCATAGAACTGGGTGTGGTTCATGGAATAGTCCAAAAAGCCCCTTACTGGCAAGTCGATTCTGACTCAGTGAGGGAGCGGAGCTGCCCTGCAGTGTCCTTTTTTTTAAAGGAAAAATATGTAATTTAAATTCGATTATGTCTTCAAAATTTAACTTCTATAGCTAGAACTTACAGTTACCACACATAAATATATAAAGACATTTGAAAGGATGTTCATTTTGGAATTTTCAAAAAGCAAGCAACAGGAAACACATTCTTAGTCTCAGTCCAATAATAACAAGAGAATACCAGTAAACTGATAAAAGAACAAACTCTAATAAAATACACCCATATGGAGTAAGCCCCAGGTACTTAGCTTTGCTAGAAAAAAATTGCCAATGTGCATATATATTTGCCCAAAAAGATCTATTTCTTTAAGTCTATAAAAGATATGTTCATGTTAACTTTAAAGGAAGTTAGGAATGATGAAAGAATAGTTGAGATATCCAAGGGTGTCCTTCTGGGCAGTCCACCACGTCTTCCCTCTGAGGAACAGCAGCCAGGCACTTTAACCCCTGTGCTACCAGAGCCCCTTCCTTGACACATGTGATGACGTTATTAGTAAATCTGTGCTCTTAATATGAACTTGACTGAACCTGTATTTGGAATTAATCACGTAATTCGACTTTTTACTCTATTAACAGTGAAGCACATAATTAACTGATTGGAATGTGACTTTGACATCAACTCCGTGGGTGTAATTTCTGCTATGCCGTGTACTGTGTGTCCCTGAGCAAGTACAGCAGTCCCAAGATTATGCATATGTGGCTTAATGCAGAACATTTAGTCATACAAGCCCCAGAAAGTGCCCCGCCAGTAATTCCTGGATCGTTAAATGACCTGGTGCCTGGGTTCTATTAAAATCAAGGTGGTGGTGCTGGTTCTGTTTGTTGAGTGCCATCAAATCACAGCTGGGCTTTCAAGATTTTCCCAATACATGTGTTAATTTCTTGACTCCTGGTAGCAAAAATTCAAGTGCGATGAAGTCGTTGACATTTTCTGTCTTTTCTCCCATCTGTCATGATGCTGCCTATTGATTGGTCCCATGGTGAGGATTTTTATTTTTGTGATGTTGAGATGTAATCCATTTTGAAGGACATAGTCTTTGATCTTCTGTAACAAGCATTTCATGTCCTTCTCACTTTTAGCAAGCAAGGTTGTATCATCTGCCTAAGTTACATTATTGACGACTCTTCTTCCAACCCTGGTGCTGCATTCTCATTCATACAGCCAGTCTTCTCAGATGGTTTACAGAGAAAGGATACAGCACTGACCTGTCTTGATTTTCAAACATGCAGTCTTTTCTTGCTCTATTCAAACAAAAGTCTTTTAATCTAGGTAAAGATCTTGCAACTACAATTAAGTGTCTTGGGATTCTTAATGTTAGCCATTATTTGTTATGATCCGTCCAGTCAAAAGCCTTTACATGGTCAATGAAACACAAATAAGCATCCCTCTAGTATTCTCTGCTTTCAGTCAAGATCCATGTGTAACATCAGCAGTGGTATCCCTGATGGCCATGGCCTCTTCTAAACGCAACTTGAACTTCTGACAGTTTTTAGTTGATGTCCTATTTTAGTGGTTTTTATATAACCTTCAGCAAGATTTTACTTACTTATGGTATTAATGCAATGAAGAAGTCATTGATTGTACAAAATTCAATCATTCTATCTCCAGCTTCATTTCTGTCACCAAGCCCATGTTTTCCGACTACTGATTCTTCTTCTCTGTTTCCAACTTTTGCATTCCAGTCACCCATTATTATCAATGCATCTTGATTGCATGTTCGATCTATCTCCGACTGTAAGAGTTGGTAGAAATCATCTATTTCTTCTTCTTTGACTCTGGTTGTTGGTGCATATATCTGAATGATAGTGGTATTCACTGGACTTCCTTGTAAGCGTATGGATATAATCCTATCACTCACGATGTTGTACCTCAAGATGGATCTAGAAATTACTTTTTTTACTATGAAGGCAACCCCATTTTTCCTCATCTTTTCATCTCCGGAGTGATATATCATATGATCATCTGACTCAAAATGCCCCATGCCAGTCCATCTCATCTCTCCAGTGTCTGTCTGGAGACTAAGGTGCGCTTGATACAGGCCATGGTCTTTGCAATCACTTGTTATGCATCAGAGAGTTGGACAATGACTAGGGAGAATAGAAGGAGAATTGATGCCTTTGGGCTGTGGTGCTGGAGAAGAGTATTGAGTGTACCATTGGACTGCCAAGAAAACAAACAGATTCATCCTGGAGAGGGTTAAACCAGGCTACTCCTTGGAGGCAAGGATTCTGGGGCTTCGTCTGACATACTTTGGACGTGTAAGGAGGGACAGGTCCTTGGAGAGGGACATCATGCTTGGGAGGGTGGAGGGATGGCGCAGGAGGGGAAGACCCTTTATGAGGTGGATTGATTCAGTGACTGGGGTAATCGGGGTGGGAGTGTCAGAGTCAGTGCAATTGGCACAGGATAGAGCAAGGTTTAGGACTGTTGTACATAGGGTCGCTATGAGTCGCAAACGACTCGACGGCACATAACAACAACAACAACGTGGTATTAATGATATAGTTAAAAATATAATATTGTGCTACAGTCCATCTTTAATGCTGCAAATATTGGGTTTGTTGGCTCATAGAGGTTTGTTACAGTTTCCACACTGTATGTTTGAGTTTTGGGGGATACATTTCAATTCATGGAGTGCCTTTTAGCATGCTGTCATTTTTTTTTATTACTGAGAACTGGATGTGACCCGTTTTGGAAGAAGTGCAGTCGGAGAGCTCCTTGGACGTACTATGGTGAGACTGGTTGACGTGCTGTGGGTTTGTTATCAGGAGGGACAGCTCTCGGATGTCATGCTGGAAAAGTAGAGGAACAGCAGTGAAATGAATGGACGATGCCCCATCCAGGGGCTTAAGAAGAGCGGAGATTGTGAACATGGCACAGAATTGGAGAAGGTTTTAATCAGTTGTCAGCAGGGTTGATGTGAGTTGGAGTTAGCGCAGGGGCACTTAACAAAAACCAGCATAAGGACCCAGTAACTTTAGTTTTCTAGTTTTAATACTACGTATTAGACTATTTCCTAATTCCAGGGCAGTAGTTTGCTCTTGTAGCCTACTCTCTTATGCGTCCAAGAGAGGACATTCTCAGTTTGGTCAGGCTCTTAGTATATATATATATATATGGATGAGAATGACACCTGTCAAGTTGTTTGCCTGTGATAAGCCAAAGCTGTAAGTTTGGGTATGTGTTCCTTCCTTTTAAACCATTTAACCAAAGGGGAAGAGCCTCAATAAGAGGGATTGACACAGTGGCTGCTGCAGTGGGCTCAGGTGTGACAGACGGTCAGGCTGGTGCAGCATAGGACAGGGTTGCACAGGAAAGGACAGGCTGGCGCAGGATAAGACAGGGTTCAGGTTGGCCGTTCATAGGGTTACTGAGTCGTACTCGACTCGATGGCACCAACATAGAAGCCATTTACGTTTTTTTTTTTGCTGTAACTTTTATGTTGGTGGGTTCATCTTTTTTTTTAACACTGTGACAATTCCTTGTCTTTAAACTTTGAGCTACAGATCTGTTATGAGATCTTGATGCTGCTATTCCTCTTGCAGAACTAAAGGGGTTTATTGTTACTGTCTGTAAAATAAACTTAGCAATAATTGCTCACTGACACTGTCCAGCTTCGAGCACTGTATTCCTGTGATAATCTCACACACCAGACATTCTGTATCGAGTCACTAGGGTTTGAGCGAGCGCATGTCTGTTGTGTAGAATATCCCATGCCCGTAGGAGCAGTCTGTTGTGGGGAGAAAGACACAGAGGGTCCAGCAGCAAATGCAGGAAGTATGCTGTTCACAAACTGTTGCCAGATGAATAAATGATGGTGCGGATTAGCTCAGAGACCGAGGCCTCCTCTTTGTGCCCCTGCTTTGCACTCCATCAGGACACCGAATTCACGAAAAGCAGCACCGCTTAGGTGACATAGTGGTAGCCTCTGTCCTCTTAGTGGATGCGAGCTTAGCAGCGTGCCGAGAATCCTTCGAGTCCCTTAGCTCCCCATCAAGTCGGCTGAAGT